TTTAGCCTGTCACATGTCCAAAATTTTCTTGGCGATGAGGGGGACTACCACTCGCCTTCATCCCCCAAACAGAAGGGGACATATTCCCCTTCTGGCAACCCCCTGATGTATCATTTTGATGGGGGCGACGACGAAAAAGTGGCCACTTTTTAACAACATTTCTCAAACAAAAATGAGGCCTAAATAGGGCATTTATTTACTGTTTGATGCCTCAAAAAAGGGGGGGGGGCAAAAAGCCGTCAAAACACGTCTATATGAGGTAAAAGTTTAAGATCGTAAAAAGATGAAAAATCTTGTAAATTTGGTTTCATTGACTCTTTTCATGGAAGTGGTAAGTAAAAACTACAATCCACTCTTCAAATCACCGGTTTAATCAAAACCTAGAATTTTTGAAGTTAAGAGTTGTAAACATCCTCAGATGTGTTAAATTAAACGGCGGGGATCATCGAAACATTGAAGATGGTTCTTTTTATGCCAACGACAAGCGGTATATAAATAAGGTCAAAAATGCGTTGGTCTTATGCGAGCTGAACTAAACAAAATGAAATTTTGAAATTTGATCATTGGTTTTTCACCGTGTATTTCCAGTATCGCAGGAATGTGCAAATAACGCAGGAATTGTGCAAATGTAACGCAGATTTGTGCAATTTAGTTGCTAGATATGTAAATTGACCAATATTTTTTATTGTACACCAAATTGGAAGAAATAAATTAGCGCATACGGTTGCTGAGACATTATACTTTAAACCTCATCAAATATATTTACATGAAAATGTTTATTTTTCAAGATCATTCGTGAAAATGACGACATGACTAGCGTATTGATGGCGATTTTTAGTTTAGTTAATATCTTTAAATACAATAACATATTACTTTATGATTTTTTTATACCCGCTCTATCTGAGACATTTTTCAATCTACTCGAGTCATATTACACTTAATTTAGCAGATAAAACGTAATTGAGACCATTTTTACGAGGTGACACTGATTTCGTGAAAGCAGCACTGAACCAACAACGGTTTTCTCATTAAAAGATTCTAAATCTTATTTCACCAGCTTCGTTCTATTGTTATACGACACTTGTAGTTTGGCAAATGTCTTAGGTATACAGACTATGAAAAAAATATGATTTAAGTATGTTAAATGAACATATTTATTTGACGAAACACAAAAGTCACCTTCAAAACGGTTATCAGGTTGTCTTTCTCACGAATGATCTTAAGAAGTAAACATATTCGTGAAAATGTTATTAATGCTGGTTAAAGTATATTGTCGCAGCAGCCGTATGCACTGATTCATTACTTTGAATTTGATTAAGAATAAACTATTTTGGTTCGTTTACTTATTGTGTTATTCGTTTTGGCAATACCGTCGCACAGATTCGGCGTTACTTTCCCGTTATTCCTGCGTTACTGAATATGCACGGTGTAATATGTCTACAGACTACACAGTTATAGTAGTGAAAAACACCTCAGATACTTTTGTACATAGAAGATCATGAAATTTAGTTGTCCCAAATATAAATAAAAGAGGGAAGGAAATGAGTAGTGAAAGTGACAACAACAGTAAAAAATACTAGTTTAATTGTCCACACGAATTTACGTAAATTTAAGTATTTATTTTGTAAATTCAGAAGTTAATGGAGGTTGACAATATTTCTAACAGTTATTTAGCAGTCACTGATGCTTCACATCCACCATTCCCGAAACAAGTATGACAATGTTATTCTTTGTGACCTATATTCACCTATTCAAGATCATGAAAAGAATGACAAACATCAATCTCTACAATTTTGTTTTTCATTGAGTACCCTGCTTTTGTTGCTTGGGTGTGTAGTATGCGACATTTTTTTAACGTCGCCTTGCTTTGTTGATATTCGTCCTCATTTTCTTTGACTACTATCATATTTGCAAAATACATGTACGTACTTTTCCCTAGCAAAATTATCAACTTTTAGTTTAATATCTACTTTTTTAGCATGTTATAGAGTATTTTTCTTACCATTAACATAACAGGATGGTTGTTTCTTATTTGCGACAAATGTTTTGTGTAGGCATAACGACTCTTCCTTTCTGTTGAAATATAAATTGTCTCTCTATATCACGATGTATGATGTATTTTGTGAAATACATGTGAATAAGGTAGGACGTCGGACGAAACACGAAAATACGACAAAGTCAACATCGTGTCGTACTTTCGCAATACCAAAATTCAATAGACGTTAAGACGCCCTTAATGTTAGCGTAATGCTGTTGTCAATGTTATAATTGAGATAAGGGGTGTCAATGTGAGTTTTCGGATTTACTGTAATATAATTATGATGTTTATTAAACAGATATTAATGATAAATTTAAGTTGTTACAACGCATAATTTGTTTAGGCAATTTTAACTGTCATTTTCTTGAACTCACAGTAAATGATAATCAATAAATACTGTAACGTCTAAAAAGTATTCGTTGCCGTTGTATCAGCCAAATCCTAAAACTTATGTACGTGTACAATAAAACCATTCATGAATTATATAACCTTTTCTTCTAAAATAATTTTGACAGGGGTCACAAGGCTATTATCGATGATGGTGGTAGTGGTTGTAATTTTGGTGGTTGTATTGGTGGTGTTGTTGATAGTGGTAGTGGTTTTATTGCTGATATTTATGGTGGTTTCGTTGAGGGGTGATAATGATGATGATATTTCAAATTAAACGAAAGATTTATAATAGATAATATATCGGCTCGTCAAATATGACTTTTCAAGCTGTGTACTCGTCCAAATATATTCCCGTATTGTAATGTAAAATGTATAATAGCCTTTAATTAATTTAATCACGTAAGGTGTTATAATAAGTAGAGGATACTGTTTTTTTTAATATGTAAGTGTTTTACCGGTTTTGCTGCGTTATGTCATGCACTCTGCTTCTGTTAAAATTCCCGAAGAGTTCAAATACCAATTTACATTCAGTAACTATATTATTTACATTAGTAACGACGATGTGAATTTCTGTCAAGGTTTCCGTTGATTCTTTTTGTTTGCCTTTTGTCAGATTTTCTATGAATTTTTAGCTTTTGAATAAACACAATTTCATTGTGATCCGACTTATATGACGAGCAACGAGGAAGAGAAAAATACATGTACCTAGATAAATCTCTAAAAGCGGTCTAAAGGGGGAGTTAATTGAATTGTTGTCATGGCTTTCATGGTGTGTGTTTCTAAGAAGCTTTAAGAGGTAGAACATTACTGTTTCTTTGATCAGGTACTGAACAATTTCCCTGAAATTATGAAATTAAAGGTCTTTGTTTAAAGCTTGGTGCATCAACTAACCGGGTGGTTTTGAAAATAATCTGCGAAGGGAACTTTATTCTGTTTAAATGTAAACTCCTGCAAAGGCCACGGTTACGGTTACTTAAATATATCATGGAAGGCTAGCTTTGATACTTATAGTTCAGGCGTCTGTGAAATTCAAATTTTTAATACAGGAAAGCTTGCTAGGAACTTGTCTTGTAAATCAAATCATTGATATTTTTCCGAGCAATATGATTGCAGAAAGAGATATGACTATGATGGGAGGTACAAGAACAAAATTTGACTGAAATTATTAAATATGAGTTACAATTATGTGATTAATCTATTTCATCTCAATGCAATCTAAGAATTACATCACAAAATCACACAAACAAACAAAAAAGTATTTTAAGATACTTTTTAGTATTGTTTTCCTCTTTTAAAATTTAGAAAAACTTCTAGAGAGCGATATTTATCAGGATATTAGATTGTGTTTGTTCCTTAGAGGTTTTACTGGAAACATCCAATGTGAAGACTAACTTTGACTTAAGATATTAACAATACTGTCCTTGTTTCGCGATAATTGTCTCATTGATGGTCGAACAACATTGGATGTACTGTATGAAATACATGTGTGCCAGCAGAAAATAAACACGTATATCACAGTTGTAAGATAAGTTCTAAATTACTTACTAAGAAAGAAAAACAACAAAGTTTTTTTTTTTCAAAATAAGAGAAAGTAGACAGTTTACAAATGCTGCAAGTATTATGTTGTGTATGAAAACTTATTAAAAAATCAGTATTCAAATACCTTTTACTTTCGTTAAGATTGTCCTTTCGTAATATAAGGTTAAGTATGTTAACACCATGTTTATTTGTAGATGTTGCTGCGTCGAGCCAAGTGTGTTCAAAAGTTCTTGTATGACAGCGGCATGTTTGAATTTCGAACCTTTTTCTGGTTTTACTTATTCTAATGGTCTCAAGGTTCTAAAATAAGATAGTGCCAAAGAAATGATTTACATCTCGTCAATACTATTGTAGAAAATTTAAATATATAGTTTAACAGTAAAAATCATCTTTAAACAAAAAATAAGATTTTGTTTAGCTTTTCTCTTCCAAAAAAGAGTTTCTCTATCTAACAATTCCAGTCTGTTTCAGTCATTCTTTACAATTCTGTAAATATTAACGTCTTTCGCAATCTATTCCTATAAAATTGAATTAGATTAGAATTAAATATATAGATAAACGAAATGACTATTTCAATGAATCAACAAATGCTATGATAAAAGGAGAAACACTATATAAAGAAATGATAACCATGAATTAAGTAGTGATTCTTGTATTCTAGCGTTATGTTATAAGATTCATTAATAAACAAAGAACCCTGTAAGCTCAAAATATAATAAGTCAACATATGTGAAGTCACATTGAGAATAAGGTTTCAGCAACAAAACTAAAATTGTGAAAAACGAAATCCCTTAAAAGCGGAAATGAATATGTTGCAAGAACCTGTTCATGGACGGTACCAATAAATTCATGTTACCGTCCAGACCACTAGCACCGTTTTAAGCAAAATTCAACATTCAAACATAATAATGGTATAATTTTGTATTTAGAAAATCCGCAAATGTGCTCATATGACGGTTATCATGAAATTTTCAATGTTAGTGCAATGCCATATAAAGCGGCGTATTTTCCTAAAAAAAAGAATGCATGTGCACTAAAATGTTCATGGCAAGAATAAAACTTACTTGAATTCTAAACTAGCACCAGCTGACATTAAAAGCTTTACAGTTTCAACTTCACCCTTCCTTGCTGCTTCATGTAAAGCAGTTCTTCCATTTCCATCCCTTGAAAATATACACAAAATCATATTACATCAGTAATTTACCAATTAACAATTCTTTTCTACGAATTTCATTATGTGAATTTGGTAGATCAGTCCTTATCAACAATGGTACAGCCAAGACAGTGAAATATGTCTCTTCCTTACAATGTTCATTCATGAAATGAGCAACAGAAATAAATCATGTTTTAGTTTTAAAGAATGTGTTTTGAGAAAGAAGAATAATAAATACTAATGTTAACATATAACATTGAATCTTTAGACTATATTAAGATAGCCTTTATGTTTTGAATTACTGTTTATTTTTGGTATGTACTCACATATAGTTTACATCTGATTTTCCAGCGTTGATAATTCTTGTCAAATTATCAAGGTTTGTTGCACTTTCAGAGACACACTCGTATATTTTGCTGTCATCATCTTGTCTGTTCAATCAAATTATGGAATTATATGCTATGCATTGTAATGATAGAACATATGAAATCAACGTTTTTTTTCTGACCTTTCTTTACGTGAAACTTCAAGGTTTTGTATGGTGACTTTACTTCAGCATATTATCATAATATGAATTTTGTTCGTAATGTTACAACTTTAACAGCATGTCCATACACATATACTATAATATAGGAATTTTGTTAGATATGTAAAAGGAAAAACAATTATGAAAGATTTCAATATAATGCTAATTAAACTTTCAATTGAATTAATCAAACCTGCAGCTGTGATGGGTATGTAAACATATGGAAAAAATGATTTGAACGGCACAAATACCTTGCCCTTGCTGCCTTAGGAAAATGACACTTTGGTTCATTTCCTGAAATATTTATTATGACTTTCTCTAATTATTGTTTTCAAAATAAAGACATTGACAATGGCGAATTGAGCGTAAAGAACGTTTTTCCTCATTTAGGTAGACAAAATCAGAAGAATAAATCCATTATTAAATGTAAGATCATATTCTTGCAAAAGTTTAGCAGTCGAGTCACAGTGAATTAACAACAAGAAAAACAACAACAAAACTATATTGTCCTATATTCTATTAAATTTTTCAAGTAAAATTAAATCTTAACTAGAAATGTCCCCACACTCCACTGTTTTGTCAAGCTAATGACTTTAGTTCAAATATATTTTTAAGTCAAGGGCAAAAGCTTTTCAAATACTGAATACATAAACAAGCATACACTCCGGTGTATAACAACACTTGCTGATACAGGTAAAAATAACATGAGTGTATAATGAAATATAACTGAAAAAATTTGATCAAACACTTTTTTCAGTAGCGCATGTTCAAGAACTTCATTAGAATAGTATTTTAATTTATAAAGCGCTGAGCCAGAAGTTACGTCCCAAAGTGTGCCTGTATGACATTGGATTGACGAAACCTAAAACTTGATTATATCTGAAAACATTTCTTCCTTCCAACAAAGCAAAAAATGAACTTTCCTAAAGCAAATAATATTAGATTCGAAAGCAGTTATGTTTTTATAGCATAATGTTTTATGGTTAAAAGTGAAAAGTAAAACATTCACAACATACATACATGTATAATTTGTCTATTTACATTATGTTTTGTTGAGAAAGACGAATAATAATTTCACACCGTAGATGTCATGTTAACTAAATAGATCAAACCATATTTCATAAATGCATTTATATGAGCTCAGCGTTGCTTTTGTGTCAGGTTATTATATTGAGATACACATTTCTGAGTTCGTACGTTGTTTATTTATAAATAGATTCCTACAAACGTTTTTCTGTTCTATTTGCACTTATACTTCTCTAAATAAAACTGTAGCCACATCTGTCAAATCAATTGTTCAAATTAAGATTATTTTCTTTCAAGCATGGACCGATAGAAAAGCCAAGTGATCGTTTATTATAAGCAAAATAAGCCGTTAAGTCAGATTTCTGAGGTGGCGAATTCTTGTATGAGCACTGCAGTATTTTTGTCGAAACCAACAATGTTCAGAATGAAAGGATTGTGATTATCTGCAATAATGTTGTCAGTGGCTAACATCGCAACTACGATCAATTTTGTATTAGGCATTTTCATTTCCTTTTGATATTCCGTTAGAGCTTCAATTGCCTGATTCCCCTCTGTTGTTTTGTTGTCTGAATATACTATAAAAACATCAAATGCCTTTTTCTTTTCCAGAGCCCAGCGAACTGGAATAGATGCATTAGTTTCACTGCCCTTTGATTCACTTATTTTCTGGGTGACGTCCTCGAGTGACTCGTTCTTATCAATGATTATTTTTTTCAGACCATCAGAGAATCCAACAACTTTGCAATTTCTTTCAGTGCGAATAGTCAACATCATTATCGCCGCTGCGGCCTGTTTACAGTTAATTACAGGACAACCATTGCATGGTTTACCCATATCTTCACTACAGGAAATCGCTATTAAGAAGCGTTTTTCACTCGACTGGACGGTAATGAATGATTGATAAAAGGCTGCATTGAGCGCCTGGCAGATGTTTTGGTTCACATCCCATTTAAGGTGACGGATATTGACCTTACCGTTTTTACTTCTAGTTTTCTCCGATTTTTCGCCAGTTTGGTACGACAATAAAGCAATAAGAATTCTGATTGGATGAACTCTTTCATCGTGTAAAGCTTTCTCGTTACTAAGTATCGCTATGATTTCTTTTTCACATTCCGACCCCTCGTTACAAAGGCCTTTAGAAGACATCAAACTGATATTGCGCACCTTCGCTTCGGCTTTCATGTTTGACATTATCGCTTTACAAACCATGGGACACTTCATCATCTGTGTTGGAATATGCTCTCGTTCAAGATTATATTCCTTTATAAGTTCCGCGAGCGTATCCTCATCAGTGCATCGTTTGGCTTTCTCTGTACCCTCTATGTAAGTCAGAAATTTTGAAATACTTTCATTTCTCTACTTGATGCAAGGCCACATGTATTTTACCTGAATAAACGAATTATTTTCATATCAATGAAGAGATTCTTTTTTTGGTAATTATTTTTTAAAAACAGGAACCGTCCGATGAATTTATAGTTTTTTTTTCCTTCTTAATACTTAAGTTATAGTGTTATATTATTTTTCATGTCAATCTGTGATAGATATTTACTTAATAAACTTTTAGATCTACTTTTATAATATTAGATGTTCTACCTCAGATTACCAAATAATCTTATAAACAGTGGCACTTTAATTATCAAACACGGTATTGGGCATACAGAGACAGTGTTTACAGAAGAAGGATATTACACCATATATGATTTAGGTCAATGTTAGAGTAAACATATAATAAACATGACTTTAAAATTAACAACAAAATGAAGAGATCTCCTCAAAATCGATATACTTCATGTTCAGTGTTTATTTTCTCAATGTATCGTTAAAATTGATATTATGAAGAAAGGAATTTCTATATATGAACCGCGTCACGAAAAAAACCCAACAAAGTGTGTTTGTGACCAGCATGGACCCAGACCAGCCTGCGCTTACAATCTCTATTACAAGTAGAGAAAATCTTAGCGAACAGCATGGATCCTGATCAAAATGCGCGGACGCGAAGGCTGGTCTGGATCCATGCTGGCCGCAAACCCATTATGTTGGTTTTGTCATGACGCGGCTAGTATATTTTTGTTGTTCAAAGAGAAAGTAACGTCAATGTCGACTTTTTCGTAATATTTCAGTAACTGTGCATTTCTAGTACTAAACTACGCCTGTCTCCCAATATTTAGCGCGAATATTGAATGCAATACACACTACTTGAGAAAATCAAGACATTAAATTTAATTTATTTTGCTAGTATATAGAATATAGATGCACATGGTCAAAAAGTTCAAATAACAGGGTGGGTGATAACGTGCCATTTGTATACGATAACATTGCGGCACCGCTCTGTTTTTTTGCGATGTTTCGTTGCATCTGTCAATATTTTAATAATAAACAGAGATTCCAATGGTTCATATTTCTTAGATGTTGCTCTAGTGCTTAGCAGAAATTGTGACACAAATTTTCATCAAATTAGATGCATAGAAACATTTCTAGAAGTACAAGAGTTAAATTGGGAAAGTATGTTTCATTGCAATCGGAAAATATTACCCTTAACAAATGTCACACGTGATCATCCAACTTTGGTGTGTCTGATAATTATCACATATTACAATTTAGTTAAGCTGGACTCAACAGCACCTTTACTAAACGGTGGATCTCTCAATCTGTGTGTTGAGTCAAAGGGGCGGTTAGGATCATGTTCCATTGACGATAAAGAGGGCAAACATTTACTTTACGATAACTAAACGATAATATCACTTATGATGTGTCTCAACGAAAGAAAGCAAATAAGTAAATACCGCTTATAACGAACTCATTGGGACATTCAAAATCTGTTCGTGATATCCGGAGTTCCTAGTAAGCATATAGCGAATTAAATCCTTGCATGAGGAGCTTTATAGCGAACAGATTTACATAAAACGAACTGATTGTTTACAATCGTCCTTTTTGAAGAACATCTGATAAAGAATAATAACTTATTTGGGTTCGTCATTGTTGTCTCCCTTACATTGATTCAACAAAGGAAAAAAAGAAATTATTGCATTTTTTAATATAATTTTATATATTTATATATCAATAACATAATAATACGATGTATACAGTATTGTTTTTTATTGACAATACAGTATCATTAAAGATAGATTTCTTTTCATTTCAATTAAGCGTACTTTGTACTTTTCAATAGATTTTAATCAAGATAAAGCATGCGTAATAATGTTAAAAACCAATTTAAAATGATTATAACTATTTTCCTCGAGGAAAACAATTAAAGAAAAGAAATAATAGAATAAAATGAATAATCGTTTTATCTTGGTGACAAGAACTCATACTAAAAAATATTCTAAATAGAAAGCTAATAGCTACAGCTGTATTGAAGTACATAGAACAATAAACGGTACATTCGCCCGAGTTTTTAATCCGTGCCGATGAAAAGAGAAAATGCGGGATCTATTGACAGATAGCCGATATTTTAGAATTTGTCATAAAAAGTGTAATTTTCTGTACATGTACTTTTAACTTAATTGGGACTAAAAATGAGTTAAAAGCGATAATTCCTTATAACCGTGTCCACTTTAAACGTTATTTTTATATTTATTAAAGAAGGGCAAAAGTCGAGCCTTATAACCGGAAGTTCGCAATAACCGTGTCCGCCATAAGTGAAATTTGGAACGTCAATATGGGGTATTTCGTATCAAAACTGCATCCAAAAATGAGGAGAAAAATGTTCGGCGCCGCATATCATTCTTCGATTTTTGAAAAACATTCTTATTCTTTAAAATATACGCTAATTTTTCGAAACTGGGTTTACCTTTTTCAGCTTTGTATTGGTCGAGGGCTCTACAACGGCAGTGTCGAGGGGTCTCATTTGATCAGACCACCAAAATGATTCACCATTAAGTTTGCGGTTAAAAAGGGCATCGTGTACTTCACAGAGTATATTTAGATAACAAAATCCTCTATTTTTACCTGAACTATCAAACTGCGAGTGGTGTATTTTTTTTTTCATTGTCAAGTTAAGCTGAATATAGACTTTGTATTTCAAAAGACTGGCAGTTATAATGGTGATTGACCTTCAATTGATATTGTAAAATGTTTAGGATGAAATATAAATCTGCATACAATATGAAAAGACTTCCCCACCCTTTTTTATATATAACGTTACAGGTAATTTCCGATGGATGTTTATAAAGAATTGTCCATGGGCCACGTGAGTTATTTATCGTTCATGCAAAATCAAAGAATTATGGCAAAATGTAAATGAATTTATATTACTACCCCTAACTTTTTTCGTTATATGTAAATTTCCCATAGGCCTATGGCAATTATTCTTACTGTTAATGCAAGTGTAACACGTGACCAAGAATTTTGTACTGTTACATAGGTAACAGTTTTTTTAACAGTATAAAATCTGGTCACGTGGTCTATTTTCTTAATAGAATGAAATAAAATGGCCGCCATTTTTTTCTCGATTCATTCTGATTTTCGACATTAACCACGATAAAACATCGCCATCTTCTCTGGAGTAACTATGACACCCATAAAATTTAGTTTTTGCACCCTGGAGTGCTTTTCGCGTATAAGATATCTTTTTGTTGAATAGTCAAAAAGTAAGCATTCGTTTTCAACGGAAATAATTGCTATGAAAATAATTATGTTTCAAACTGAAACATGCAGACGATTTTGCATGCAACAAAGGATTCTTTAACCATTCTTATCAGAGCAACGTTATAGATATGGTTGACTGACATAGGATATCCTCGTTATTTTGTCGAAAACCATGTGAAGAATATTCTGGAAACATCAGGATCAGATTGCACAGATCATAACCGTATAAATGGGTTTGTGTTTTGTTTACTAAATAAAACACAGCTTATTGTTTATGACTATTAGATATCATCACTTGCTTAAAAATAAAAGAAAAAAAATTTCTCGAGTAGAACTACAGTACAGTACACTTAAAACTTAAAAGGTTAGGACAGTTTAGTTATTGTTACACTTGATTTATTTTTGTTGCAGTTAGATTTAGTTGACAAATTCAGATCATCACAGTACTTTGTTCGGGGTAATTAAATAAATAACACTACGCCTCGGGTAACAGTATTTTTCTCGGGATGATATTTTTACTGTTACCCACAACCCATGTGTTATTTATATACTATCACCTATTCATTCTCTACATCTTGGAGGGCATAGTTTCACTATTTAGCCTATCTGTCAGAAATAATGCAGTATACTTTTTTTATCCGTTTTACGCGTTATTGTATTATTTCAAACTTGGATGTTCCGAGCAAATTATCGCAAATTTTTAAATCAAGATGCGTGTTCGACCGTCAGTTAATTTGTTTTGTAAAGGTAATAATGACATTTTTTAGATATAATTGAAGTTTCCACTGCCGAATGTAGAAGTGACATGTTGCATTTATACACACACAACATTTTGAACAAACAAATCAATACTTAATGTATTATGTTTAAAATAGATAACTCGCCAGAACGTCTCGGGCGGCGCAAAATGGCAAATACATGTAATTAAAACCTGGACAAGGTGTTATACCGTGTCTGTATGATTTCTTGCAACGATACTGTATGATTTATTGCAAGTCTAGCACGTATGTAACTCTGAAGGACATAAAAAGCACCAGACCTACCAATTGCCATACTTTCGACCCTTTGAATATGCTGGGCCTCAATGATTCATAATGTGCACTAATATAGAAGGCAGAACAATGTCGTCTATAGAGAACGTGATAAATCAATTATTGGTGTGCAGCAGCGAATTAATAAACCCGTTATTGGGTGTTAATAATTAATTGAGTGAAGGAAATGTACATTTAAATGTATATAGTGTAAAGTTATACGACAGTTTAGCATATCTTATCTTTCCTTTTCAACTAAGACATGACAATATATTAATTCATTTAGAAGTCCAAAGCATTCAGAATGTATTGGCAGACATCTTGATATTGAAAAGTTTGACTTTGAGTTTAAGGGTACGGTAACTTGTAAACAGGATGTGTGTGATCATTGAACAAAGAAAACAAAGTTTAGTAACAAAATGGCAAATATGTTATTCCTTAACATACATTTTATCTCAAATATAATATAAATGTCATTCTTGCTTTTTTTAATAATATCTTCGATTTCTGTTATAACATAGTTCTCCCCCGTCAAATCCGACTTGTCCATATGCTTTATTGCAAAGTCAAGTTTGCTTCCTTAGGAAAGTAGAGTAAGGGGAAAAAAACTTCAGTTTATTTCAAGTTTAAATTGTTCGGTCAGTTATAGCCTGTTGAAAAGTAAAAGCAGACAATGTGCTGTTTGTACGATTAATTGCGGGCGTCAGTGAGCGATCTTGTGTTTTCATTGTTAATAGATTTGTGTGCAATTTTCACACTGAGGGATATTAGAAACGAATGATGATTCATCATCATCAAGATTTATGCCTACGATTTTATTTCTGAGAACTGTATTAAACTGTTATCAATTAATATTTTTAAAGATAAATCTGCTTCCGACTTTTATACATGCTCGCCAAAAGCAACGATAGCACACAGAATCTCATCCGAAAGACTTATTTTAGTTGGCCAGCCATCTAAGTGCATTAGATAATAAACATTGCCATTGTTTCCAATAATTATCGCAGATTTTCGAAGATAATACATTTATGCTCATGTATTACGAAACATAATAAAAGAAAGTAAAGTGATAAATATTCAGGACAGACACGACAACAACCAATCCTGTAGGACCTAATTAATCACTGATGACTAAGTCTAAATTATGCTTCAGAAGTATGTTAAAATGCCCGGGAACTTGGACCAAAGCTAACAAAAAATCCCGCCAAACATTATCTCAAATCACGACTTCGTCAGAAACAACGATAACACATAGAATCAATTTGTTTCCTCAATTATCAAACGTAACATATAATAAAGAACTTTAAAATTTTAAAACAAACTGAGAACAAAAACGTTACAGATAAAAACATTTATTATGAAATAAAATAGGACTTAAGTATTTTGAGTTATTTAAGGAACGTTTTATACAGTATTTTAGGCTATTCAACATGTACAGTTGCAACGGCATGCGCTATATTTTGTCAAAAAGAAAACTTTCATACATAGGCAAAATAAATAGTGTCGATTAAAGTGTTTCCAAAATCATTTTTCATTTTATAATGGAGTTACAATATCATTGGTGTGAATATACATACAAATTTATCAGTTCCACTAACTGTCGTTTTCATTGGTTAATTGAGTACATGCTGTGAGCATAGCATTCAGTTTTGATATCCACGAACATATTCATCGCAACTGTTCCCACATTTTTTTATCGTGCTTTCCTTTGCTGATTGACTTTTAAATTTTAAAACATGGTCTAAATACCGCACAAGAATGCAGAGAATATTTTACTCCCTTGTTATTGGTGAACACGTGCCCTTTAACCGGGGCATGATAGAGACTACATTTCTTCTGAAATTATTCTTTGTTTATCATTGACAGTTTCAAACATAGCTGACACATTTCAACATACCCTTATAGTCTGATTTTATTGACCTGTCAATTATGAATACATTATAACACTCATCTAAATATTCGATACCACTTCGGTTCTGTCCGTATAGATTACGAAAATTAATTTGGAGAATATGACTAATGTTTTAAAAGGCACACTATCTGAATGTTTATGTTCTGGTTATATCCACAATAGCACAGTCAGTTGAGTGAATACCTCATATATTAGAGGACTATTGTTCGATCCATACTTTTGCCATTGTTTTTAGATCCATTCTTTCTTTATTTTTGAAGTATGCTGTAATGATTATGGCATGCAAAATAGTCTAAACGGATATGGAACAACCTAGAAACACAGATTTGTCTGTTTTGTTTTGAATTTTATGGCATTGAAGTGACATTTTTTTATTTAAATTTTAATTCTTAAAAAAGAGAAAATAAGAATCTCCAAAGAAACCCCAACACGGCAAAATTAAAAATATTGCAGGCTCGGTTTGATTGAGCCTGTTTATGGACGGTACTGTCAAATGCAAACTACTGTCCACGCCCCCTAGCACCGACTTAAGCAGAATTCAACATTTAACATGAACTAGTTCAATTTTGAATTTTGAAACATTCGCAGATGTGGCGGTTATCATGGAACCTTCAATGTGACACGTCAGTGCCATTCTATAAAAGCGGCATATGGTCCCGGAGTAAAACTATGCGTGTGCCCTAAACGAGACAACAATGGGCGGAACTAAAGAAAAATGAATTTTGAAAGGGGATCAGAAGTTATGAAGCCTGCATATCACAGATAAGACGTCAAAAGACAAATTTATAAAGCAGGCCACATATCCAAAGGGTGATCCAACAGTATTCAAGTGGGGAATACTGGAACCACCCAACAAGAAAATAGCCGAAAGAATGAGCTATACCAGAAGCACAATAATAATGTCGTGCTGAACGATCTGAAGGATTGGAAATATAACATCTAAACCTTTAAACCATGCTGTTTAAAAGCGTATAGTCTTTGCCAGAATAAGAGCAAAACATATAAAAAAACACAAAAAGAACAACTTAAAAAAACAAAGAAAAAAAAACGATCATACCTTCAATAATGAAGAAAATATACATAAATCATACAACAGGTGGGACATTTTGAAGTTATAAAGCGGTAGTTTACCCTATTGCGCTTATACAGCTGTAACACCGCACTTTGCGGGTCAAACGCACTTTTGGGGTCCAACCCAAAAGTGCGTTACGTACTTTGGTGTCCAACTCCAAAGTGCGTTACGCACTTTGGTGTCAAAGTTTGACCCCAAAGTGCGTTATACAGGTACATATGCTTTTTTTGACATCAGACAAACGA